CATCCAGAAAAAGGCAGCAATATCCACTCTCATAACTTGGGATCCTGAGTACCAAAGTCCTAACCAGTTTAATAAGACAAGAAAAATAAAAGGAACATAGAAGGGGGGGGAGGAAAAACAATATGATTATTTATTCAGAAAACCCCATGAATCCACAAAAAAAAAAAAAATTCCAGAATATATGATTTCAGCAAGACCAAAGGACAGAAAGGAAACACAAAAATATTATACTCCTTTTTATATTTGCAGTGGTGAGGACCAAATCCAGGATCTTGTGCATACTAGGAATGTATTTGGTTTTTGTTTGTTTTTAATTTGTACYTTTTAGAAATGCATGACATTAGAGTGTATTTTGACATATTATATCTACATGGAGTATAACTTAGTCTAATTAGGATCTCATTCTTGTAGTTGTACATTATGTGCAGTTACACTGGTGGTGTATTCATATCTAGGAAAATAATATCCGATTCATTCTACTGTCTTTAGGAAAGTATTCTACCTCTGAGCTACATCCCAAATTTTATTTCTATTTACAAATAAAGAAGGTGAGGCTCAGTGGAAAAGCATGTGCTTATTAACATACTCCAGGACCTGGGTTCAACAGAATAAAGAAAAGACGGAAAGGAGATAGGGAAGAAGGACAAGAGGGAGGCAGGCATATTTGAAATAGCTAAGAAAAATGAAAAATTAAAAAACATGAAATAAGTACAAATCTAAGAAAAAATGTATAGGATCTGTACCACTAACATCTATAAATCACTAATGGAAGAAATCAAACAACCAATTAATTACAGTCACATCGTTTTCATGCTTTGGAAAACTGACATAGTAAATATATGTCAATTCTCCACCAAACTGATCTATATATAGATTTAAAGTTATTCAAATTAAACCTCAGAAGAACTAATTATTGATATATACAAGCTGATTCTAAAATGCATATAAAAGACAAAGAAAGGGGCTGGGGATGTGGCTCAAGCAGTAGCGCGCTCGCCTGGCATGCATGCGGCCCGGGTTCTATCCTCAGCACCACATACCAACAAAGATGTTGTGTCCGCTGAGAACTAAAAAATAAATATTAAAAAAAAAATTAAAAAAAAAAAAAGACAAAGAAAATAACCAGCGAAGTGGTGCATGCCTCTAATCCCAGTTCAGCCAGCCTCAGAAACTTAGTAAGACCCTGACTCAAAATAAAAAATGAAAGAGCTGGGGATGTAGTCAGTGGTAGAATGCCCCTGAGTTAAATCCCCACTATACAAAATAAAACAAAACAAATCTTTTAAATGTTTAAGGTTGGAGGAACCACATTATCCAACTTCTAAAAATTATTTTTTTAGTTGTAGGTGGACACAATGTCTTTATTTTATTTTTATGTGGTGCTGAAGATTGAATCCAGTGCTTCATAAGTGCTAGGCAAGCACTCTAAACCACTGAGCCACTGAGCCATAACCGCAGTCCCAACTTACCCAATTTTTAAGACACAAGTCATCAAGGCAGTGCAGCACTGGCAATGGACAGACCAATAGATCACTGGAAAAAAACTAGAGTACCCAGAATAACCCACACAAGTAAGACAAATTAGCTTTTTAGGGTTGCCTGCTTGTCTTCAGTGCTAGAGATTGAATCCAGGGCCTTGGGCATGCTAGGCATGCTGTAACTGGGTTAGGTCTTCCAGACCACCAGTTACGTTTGCCACTTTCAAGAAATGAGTTTGGAGCAATTTGAATTTCACATACAAAGAGAAAAAAAAAAAGAAAAGGGAACTTTTACCCAAACTTTCTACCTTATCTGGAATTACACAAAATGAATCAGATCTAAATGTAAAACTATTGAAATTTTTAGAATATAAGGAAAAATATCTATAACTTGAAGCTGAAACAAAGTTCTTAGACATGACACCAAACCATAGTTCATAAAAGAAAACAAAATGGTAAATTGTCCAGGTATGGCACACAACTGTAATCCCAGCAACTCGAGAGGTTGAGGCAGAAGGATCACAAGTTCAAGGGCCAGCCTCCACAACTTAGATACCTTTCTTAAAATAAAAAAATAAAAATGTCTGGGGCTGTAGCTAAGTGGTAGAGCCCCTGGGCTCAATTCTCAGTGCACACACAAAACAAACAATCTTTTTTTTTTTTTTTTTTTGGTACTGGGGATTAAACTCAAGGCGCTTAACCATTGAGCTACAACCCCAGTCCTTCTTATTTATTTAAATATTTTTTTTAGTTTGTTGATGAACCTTTATTTTAATCATTTATTTATATGTGGTGCTGAATTGAACCCAGTGCCTCACACAAGCAAGGTAAACGCTCTACCACTGAGCCACAACCCCAGTCCTTGTTTTTTTTATTTTGAAACAGAGTCTCACTAAGTTCCGAGGACCTCACTAAGTTGCTGAGGCTGACCTCAAACTTGTGATCCTCCTATCGCAGCCTCCCAAGGATTACAGGCATGCACCACCACACCCAGGCCAAAAAAGAAAGAAACCCACAATCTTGAATATATACCTCTTCTAAGAGAACACAAGAATGGCAAATAAACAGACGATAAGTGTTCAATATGATTAGTCAGTAGGGAAATACAGACTAAAACTACAATGCCACTACATACCTATTTATTAAAATGGTTAAAAAAAAAAAAAAAAAAAGAACTACTGGCAATTCCAACTGCTAGCAAGGATGCAGAGCAACTGAACTCCCACACGTTACTGGTGGGTAGGCAAAATAATACACCTATCTGGAAAACAGTTTGTTTTATGTTACATATGACACAGCTCCTAATCCTTAGCATCATAGAGAAATGAAAATTTACTTTCACACACCAACTCAGACATAAATGTTTATAGCAACTCCATATCCAAGAAAAAAGAAAAACTAGAAACCATCCCAATGCCCACCAAGGAAACAACTAATAAACTGTGGTACATCCATACAATGGACTACTATGCAGTGAAAAGGAACAAGGCTGGGAATACAGCTCAGTGGCTGAATGCTTGACTAGCATGCCTGTGACCCTGGGTTACAGAGAGAAGAGAGAAGAGTTGGTGAGGGTAAAAASGAACTACTGGTATATGCAACAACTTGAATGAATCTTGGTATTACACTAGGTAAAATAAAGTGTAGCCTCAAAACTTTGCTATCTTATGGCTACATTTAAGTGACTTCCCTGAAATTTAAAAGTATATAAGGAACAGAGTAGTGGTCGCAAAGTGCTTAGGAATTAGGGAGAGATCCCAGCGGCTGGGGAGGCTGAGGCAGGAAGACTGCGAATTCAAAGCCAACCTCAGCAAAATCRAGGTGCTAAGAAACTCAGTGAGACCCTGTCTCTAAATAAAATACAAAATAGGGCTGGAGATGTGGCTCAGTGGTTGAGTTCAATTCCCAGTATCCAAAGAAAACAAAAGGAATTAGGGAGAGTATGACTGCACAGGGATAACATGAGGCAGATTTGTGGATAATGAAACTATACTGTATCCAATTATGACAGTGATTACATGGGACTACATCTGTGCTAAAATTCAAATAACAGAGCTGGAATGTAGCTCAATGGTAGAGCATTTGCCTACCACGAGCAAGACTGTGGGTTCAATCCCTAGCAATACCCTTCCATCACCAAAATYCAAGTAACAGCACTTTTAAAAAATYAAAGCTGGGCATGTCTGTGAGCACCTACTGTAGTCCCAACTACTTGGGAGGCTGAGGTGGGAGAACCAYTTGTGTCCTAGTTAAGACCAGCCAGGGTTAACACAGTGAGGATTAACACAAAAAACAAACAAAAAGCCACCTCACAGCACATGCTGTATTGCCAGCAGATCAGCCWCTGAGGTACCCCACATAGCTGGGACTCCTCAGTCTGAGGCAGGAGGATGCCAAATTCAAGGCCAGCCTAAGCAATATACCAAGGCCCTAAGCAATTTAATAAGATCCTATCTCAAAATAAAAAATTAAAAGGGCTGGGGATGTGTGCAGTGGTAAAGTGCCTCTGGATCCAATCTCCAGTACCAAAAACAAACCCCCCAAAAAAACCAGGCATGGTGGCTCATACCTATAATTCCAGCTACCTGGGAAGCTGAGGCAGGATTGCCTCAGCAACTTAGCCTAAACCTGTCTCAAAATAAAAATGGGGGGGGGGCCCGCCTGGGGTTGTGGCTCAGTGGTAGAGTGCTTGCATAGCACATGCGAGGCACTGGGTTCAATTCTCAGCACCACATAAGAATAAATAAATAAAATAAAGGCATTGTGCTCCAACTATAACTAAAAAATAATAAGGGCTGGGGATGTGGCTCAAATGGTAGTGCGCTCGCCTGGCATTCGCGGGGTGCTGGGTTCGATCCTCAACACCACATAAAAATAAAATAAAGCTATTGTGTCCACATAAAAAAACTAAAAAATAAATATTTTTTTAAAAAAAAATATATATTGGGCGCTGGGGATATGGCTCAGCGGTAGCGCGCTCGCCTGGCATGCGTGCAGCCAGGGTTCGATCCTCAGCACCATATACCAATAAAGATGTTGTGTCTGCCGAGAACTAAAAAAAGTATAAATATTAAAAAAATTAAAAAACTAAAAATAAAAATAAAAAAATAAAAAATATATATATATATTAAAAAAATAAATATGGCTGGGGTTGTGGCTCAGTGGAGAGAGCTTGCCTAGGATTCGTGAGGCACGGGTCCGATCCCCCATACCACATAAAAATAAACAAATAAAATAAAGGTATTGTGTTCATCTAAAACTAAAAAAAAATATTTTAAAAAAATTAAAAAGACTACACGAATACAGTTCAGTGACAAAGCACACCTAGGTTCAATCCCCAGTACTGGGAAAAAAAAATCAATTTCATTATATGCTAATTTCTAATGATAAGCATGCARCAGTACCACTTAGGAAAACTGGCTAAATCTACTCAAGTTGAACCATACAAATACTCAGCGATTCCTCTGCCAGGTACATACACCAACTCTCAGGAGTGTTCATGCCCACCAAAAGACATGCTCCAATTCATATCAGCCTTAAAAAGAAAAAAAACAAATATCCATCAATATTAGAACATATAAAGTATCACACAATGGAAACGTATATGCCATGAAAARGAACAATCAAATGCTACATCAACCCAAAAGCATCTCAAATATAACACCTAGCCAAAGAACYCCAGCACAAAGTCCTTCTCTATGAAATACCAGTAAAATACATCAAAAAGATACAGATTAGAATGGTAGTAGGAATGACTATGAAAAGGAGAACACATTCTGGGGTATAAGGAGACACTCACTGTACCCTGATATATTCATTACACACGTCTACATATATATAGCAACACTAAATCTCAGAGGGGGTTTGTGATGAGCTGCATCATTTCTAAAACTTACATAATAACAACATATGCTAAACCATTAATCTTTTTTTTGGGGGGGGGCAKGCATGAAGTACCAGAGATTGAACTCGGGGCCTCTCTACCACTGAGCTGCATCCTCAGCTCTTATTTTTTATTTTGAGACAGTCTTGGGAATGGGGATGTGGCTCAAGCGGTAGCGTGCTTGCCTGGCATGCGTGCGGCCTGGGTTCGATCCTCAGCACCACATACAAACAAAGATGTTGTGTCCGCCAAAAAATAAATAAATATTTAAAAATCCTCTCTCTCTCTCTCTCTTTAAAAAAAAAAAAAAGAGAGAGAGAGAGAGAGACAGAGACAGAGTCTTGCTAAATTGTCCAGGCTGGCCTCAAACTTGAAACCCTCCTGCCTTAGTCTCCCAAAGAGATGGGATTACAGGTACACACCACCACACCCAGCTAAACAGCTAAAGGTCTGGAAGTTCTAGATTCTTACTTAATTTACTTCTGTGAATTACAGAGTTTCTTAAAGCAAATATAAGAAGAACCTCACTTCATCATGGTAGCAATTTCTACCAGACAGGGAAGACCCCCAAGTATCTATTCCACACATCCATAATCCCACCAGGGCTGTTTGTACAGCAACCACACCACCTAACCTCAACATTATTGAGGTGGCCTTCAACATTATTAACCAAACTCTTCCTTGCCTCCTTTTCAGCCTTGAAAAAGGACTATTACCAATGCCTCAACTCAACTATTATTACCTTACCTACACTACAAGAGGGTTTCTCCAACTTTAAAATGTTAATATCAATTTAAAAATATATTTCGACCCCTATCCTACCCCAAATGGCATACTTTTGTAAATCTCTAACATGACTACAAAAATAGCCCCAAATTTCCACTCCAGTCCTCCGTGAGTACAAATCAAATGTAATTTAATACTCCAACAAGTGACACAGATCAACTTCCATAATAGAGGAATTCTATTTTTTGTAAATAATACATGTATGACACTTAATTTTGGACACTTATTTAGAAAACAAAATTCTAATGCTATTATTTGTATCTTAATATAATAATAATCATAATAACTAAATGTTTAACTACCAAAAGATGGAAAAAACATAGTTTTATTTGAAAAAAGAAAAATGTTTGTAATTTCAGATTGTGAAAAGTTTTAAAGCTTGAAGCATATGAAAAAGGGAACATTAAGCCTTCAAATGCCCATCACGAAGTGTCTGTAAGACCTTCCTATGCCAAGACGGACACACACAGGCCTCACAAATACTACTCTTTTAAGTTTTTCACTTAACACATCATGAGCATTATGAAAATCACACATTAAAATAGAAATGCAAAATAATTAGGGCTATTCATGATATGTTTCACCTACCAACTATTCATCTCAGGGCCAGCCTTTCACTATTAGGACAGAGCAGATTACCACACAAGGTTGTTACAGAAGACCTAGTCCGAGACCTATGCCCAATATTACTTTTTTTTTTTTTTTTTTTTTTTGTGGTGGGGGGATTGAACCCAGGGACTTGAACATGCTAGGCAGACCCTCTTACCACTGGGCTGTATCCTCAGCACCTCATCCAACATTTTTATTTCACATGTACTATTTCTCCATTTCACAAATGGAAAAAGCTCGATCAATAGCATTTTGCTGCAGAATCGCTAAAACTCCAACCCAACCTCCTGAAAAATGACATCTGTGAAAACAYAGCATTTACTGTGGGTCAACAGGCACTGTTTTAAGCACTTCCTCTACATTGATTTGTTTAATTCTCACAAAAATCCTAAGAGTTGGGTGCCCTAAAAGGTTGCACAGGGCTCAATCTTCTGAAACCTGTGTTCCCCCAAGCTTTGTACACCAGTTCCTCCTGAGGAGGAAGACAGACTTTCTCCATGTCTTCTCTCTGAGCCACCTTCTGGTCTGGTGACTCTCTATGGAATGCAGATGCTCCTCTCTGAGAAACACAGGGCTGGGACCCACTAGCTGTTACCTGCTAATATTGTTCTGAGTGCCTGTTTTGCACCATGACAAGGTACCCAGAGAACTCATCCTCTGTGGGGAAACAATTCAGGGCCTATGAGAATTACATTAAGATCTTCTATCACAAGTACCGAAAACATGTTTAGTCCATGATTAAAACACAACTTGTGAAGAAATTTAAAAGCTTAACAGAGGTCTGGAAGCTGGGATAGTGGTGCGCATGCATATAATCCTAGTAATTCAGGAGACTGAGGCAGGAGTTCAAAGCTTGCCCCAGCAACTTAATGAGGCCATAAGCAACTTAGCAAGACCTCTGTCTCAAAATTAAAAAGAAAAAGGGCTGGAGATGTGGCTCAGCTGTTAAGTGCCCCTGGGTTCAATCCTTGGTACCAAAAAAAGGGGAGGGGAGGGGAAGAGAGAGTGGGAGGAAAGGTGGGATAGAAGTGGGGGAGGGGAGCTGGCTGGAGAAGCAACTCAGTGGTAGAGCACTTGCCTAGCATACACAAGGCCCTGGGTTCAATCCCCAGTAAAAAAGGGAGGGCGGGAACTACAGAAAAGCTAATGCTTTCCCATGTGTGGGTCAAAATTCAATAGTACCCATTAAATAATTCTCTGAACCACAACAAGTATTTTATTAATGAAAATGAACAGAAGAGATCCATAAACTTTTGTTGGTATGTGTGCATGTTAGAGATTTTCTTTTATAGTGGGTGTCAAATCTTTGATGCATAATAGTTTAACATAACATAACGATCCTACTAAAAATAATAGGTAGGTATACGTTATCTGAGTTTAAAAAGTAATCAGAGTAACAACTAAAAGATCATTTTAACTAATTATTGCAAAGTAAGTAGAAATTACTAAAACCCTGAATGGTATGAAAGGCTAAAGTGTAAGAATGATATTGTGCTATCAACTAGTTTTTATTGAATTGATAGAAATGGGTTATTTTACATTCAGCCACAGAAAACACTATAAACGTTTTTGCAAAGGATTTGCAAAGAGGGACCTCTCACCCTCCCCTCCCAAAATCACCAAATACTGACCTAAAAAAATGCACAAGCCTCTCATCCTGGATCCCTTAGGGTTAGGGTTAGGGCAACCTCTGGAGATAGACACTCAAGACTATGACCCAGGATCCTAAACAAACCTAACAACATGATGCAAAATAAACTCCAATGACCACACTTATACTACAGAGAACACCGGGAGTAGTTCAAGCTCAAACTTAAGCAGAGATGCATTTCTGCACTTTTCTGCAACTGCACAAGWATCAAAAAGTCATGCCGTATGCATTGATCTCTTATCTGCCCTCACTATATACTGGTCCAACATAGTATTTGGAAGCTCACATAAAACAATCTGTGTCAGGACGTGGCACACAAAAAAATCCTAAGGCTTTTTGTTTTATAATCGCAATGTCTGCAAGACAACGCAATGTAAGAGTCCCACTAACACTGTAAGAACTCAAATAACTTTCGAAAAATACCCATTCTCTTTCAGGGGCCAATGAAATCTCTGGAAATGCCCAGGCCAACTGCATACCCACGTAGAAATACCTCTTCGAAGTATTACAACCCACAGCGAATAGAGACAGCAGTCCACCACCCGCTGGCCTGCACCAACAGAGCCGAAAATAATTTTTTTTTCGAACTCCGCAGCCACACACCACAAACACACCCAGCAAGCAGACGCCTCGCTGCCCCTAAGCACCCGGGGGAGCGGGGCCGGGTCGTGGCCCCGTGAGGCTGTCAGCGGGCTCTCCAAGGCCACGCCGGAGAGGCAGCGCCAACTTACCGGGCACTTTCCGCCACGCCTCGCCCGGCCCCGCAGGGTTGGAGCGCGAGGCCGACTGCGGCCGACGCGGAGGCCGCGGCGCCGGCTGCCGGCGCCGCCTCGCGCGCCGCGAGCTGTCAGCGGCCGGCGGCCCGTTATCCGCCGGCGCCGCGGCCGCCGCTCGCGAGGGGGCGGCGGCCGCGGCCGCCGGGCCCGACCCCCGCCGCCACGCTTACCTCAAAGTAGCCTCCGGCGGCGCCGCCCGTGCCCAGGGACCCGTGGGCCGCCGCTGCGCCGCCCAGCAGGCCCGCCGCGCCGCTGGGGCCCGGAGCCTGAGGGCCTCGCAGCGCTGCCGCCGGGCCGGCCTTGCCGCCGCTCGCGCCGCCGTGGCCGCCGCCCGAGCCGCCGCCGCCGCCGCGCTTGTTCTTCCGGCGCCTGGCCCCGCGCTTGGCGTCGGCCGGGCTCATGGCGGGCGGGCGGACGGGCGGCGGGCGGGGAAGGGGCGCGGGCGGACGGGCGCGGGGCCACGGGCGGCGGCGAGGGCGGCGGCGGGCGCTGCGGCCGGCCGGGCGGGGGGCGCGGCGCGGGGTCGCCTCCCGAGCGGGGAGGGCGRGGCGGGCGGGAGCTGCGAGGCGGCCGCTGGCGGGAGGGACGGCGAGTCTACCGGGCCCGGCGCCGCCGCTGACCAGAGTTAGAGTCCAATATGGCGGACACAAGGGGAAAGGGATCCCAGTTTACGTCGGGGGAGGGGGAAGCAGCGGCGGGAGGGGGAGGGGCGCGGGCGCCCTCCCCCGCCTCGCTCCGCCCTCCCGGACGCCACCGCCCCTCGCCTCGCTGCCCCGCCCGCCGCTAACGTCGCCGGCGCGCGAKGCACGCCGGGAGCTGAAGTC